TTTAGGTCTCTGGAGATCTCCCTAGTTCCAGATCTCTTCTTGGACCTATAGTGGCTCCCTCTAATATGGTATCTCTCATCTTGATCTCTCTCCTCTATTCTCCCCCCTAATCAATATCTCTGCTCCTCCATTTCCTCCCCTCTACTCCTCTTATTGTGGCAGCACCCTCTCCCCTACCCACATGCTCCCAATTAGCTCAGGAGTTCATGCTACTTCCCATTCCTGGGGTCCATTTATCCCTTGGAGTCCTTCATGTTTCCTAGTTTCTTTGGTGAAGAGGATTATAGGCTGGTAAACCTTTGCTCTATGTCTAAAATTAATATATGAGTGAGTACATTCCATGTTTGTCTTTTTGTGACTGGTTTACCTCACTCAGGATGGTTTCTTCTAGTTCCATCCATTTGCCTGTGAATTTCAAGATTCCATTGATTTTTTTCTGCTGAGTAGTACACCATTGTGAAAATGTACCACTTTTCCTCTATCCATTTTTCAGTTGAAGGGCATCTAGGTTGCTTCAAGTTTCTGGCTATTACAAACAATGCTTCTATGAACATGGTTGAACATATATGTCCTTGTTGTATGAACATGCGTGATTTGGGTATATACCCAGAGAGGAATGGCTGAATCTTGAGGCTGAGCCCTGCACCAGCCACGAGAGAGAGAGAGAGAGAGAGAGAGAGAGAGAGAGAGAGAGAGAGAGGGTTCCCACATGCACTCACTGGAAGAAGGGATGGGAAGAAGACATAGTAAGACAAAAATAGGAACATGCTCAACAACAGAAAAACCAATATGACACCACCAGAATCTAGGGACTCCACACCAACAAGATCTGAAAAGACCAACACACAGCATGAAGAAGACATGGACCACAAAAATGATCTTAGGAAGATGATAGAGTCCTTTAATGAGGAAATAAGAAAATCCCTTAAACAAAAAAGAAGGAAAAAAAGCAAAAAATTACATGGGATGCAGGAAAAGACAAACAAAAGAATTAAAAAAGTAAACAAATCTCTCAAAGAATCTAAAGAAAGCCAAGAAAAACAACCAAACAAGTGAAGGAAGCACTCGAAACAGTGCAAGGCATGAAAGGTGAAATAGAAACAATAAAGAAAACAGACAATGAAGTAATGCTGAAAATAGAAAAGCTGGATAAACCTTTCCAGAATCTCAGTTGTTGAAGACTCTCTAGAGGATATACAATCATCGACCAAGAAAATCTCAAGCCCAACAAATCCTTAACACAAAATATCCAGGAAATATGGGACACCATGAAAAGGCCGAAACTACGAATAATAGGTAAAGAAGAAGGTGAAGAAATACGGCTCAAATGTACAGAAAACATATCCAACAAAATCATAGTAGAAAACTTCCCCAACCTAGAGAAGGATATGCCTATGAAAGTACAAGAAGCTTATAGAACAGGAAACACAATAAAAAGAAGTCCTCTTGACACATAATAATCAAAACACTAAACCTTCAGAATAAAGAGAAAATATTAAGAGCAACAAAGGAAAAAGACCAAGTAACATATAAAGGCAGACCTATCAGAATCACACCCGACTTCTCAATGGAATTTGTGAAAGCCAGAAGGTCCTGGATAGATGTCCTACAAACACTAAGGGAGCATGGATGCCAAAGAAGACTACAGTACCCAGCAAAACTTGAGTCACTATAGATGGAGAAAACAAGATATTCCATGACAAAACCAGACTTAAACAATACATATCCACTAATCCAGCACTACAGAAATTTCTAGAAGGAAAACTCCAAAACAACGAATGTAACCTCACTCACAAAAATACAGGCAATAGATAATCCAATTCTACCAAACAGGAAAAGAAACAGGAGGGCAAAATCCACACATAATGACACCACCAACAATAAATCCAAAACAAAAAAGAACAAACAATCAATGGACATTAATATCCCTCAATGTCAATGGTCTTAACCTACCCATAAAAGATACAGGCTAACAAAATGGATACGAAGACAGAATCCATCCTTCTGCTGTATACAAGAACACCCCTCAACTTCAAAGACAGGCGTTACCTCAGAGTAAAGGGTTGTGAAAAGATTTTCCAATGAAATGTGCCCAAGAAACATGCTGGTGTAGCAATCCTAATATTTAACAAATTAGACCTCAAACTAAAATCAATCAAAAGAGATGAAGAAGGACATTTCATACTCATCACAGGAAAAGTCTTTCAAGAAGTCTCAGTCATGAACATCTATTCCCCAAACATGAAGGCTCCCGCATTTGTAAAAGAAACATTACTAAAGCTCAAACCACACATAAAACCACACAAACTTATAGTAGGAGACTGCAACATGCGGCTTTCACCACTAGACAGGACCGGCAGACAGAAACTTAACAAAAAAAAAAAAAAAAAAGGATCTAACAAGTTATGACACGAATGGATTTCACAGATAACTATAGAACATTCCATTCAAACACAAAAGAATATACCTTCTTCTCAAAGCCACAAGGAAAATTCTGTAAAATTGACCACATAATCAGCAATGTAGCAAACCTACTCAGATACAAAAAAAAAATGGAATAAACCCTTGTATGTTATCAGACCACCATGCTTTAAAGTTAGAATTCAAAAACAACACAAATTGCAGAAACCCTACAAACACATAGAAATTGAATAATGTGCCATTGAACCATTCTAAGAAATTAAACAATTCCTAGAATTTAATGGGAATGTAGATACAACATACCCAAACTTATGGGACACTTTTAAAGCAGCGCTAAGAGGAAATTTCAAAGCACTAAGTGCTCATATGAAGAAACTGGAGAATTGTCACATGAGAGACTTGACAGAACAATTGAAAGCTTTAGAGCAAAAAGAAGCAAACTCACCACGGAGTAGTAGACTCCAGGAAATATTCAAACTGTGAGCTGAAATCAATAAAGTAGAAACTAGGAAAAAATTACAAAGAATCAATGAAATAAAGAGTTGGTTCTTTGAGAAGATCAACAAGTTAGACAAACCTCTATCCAAACTAACCAAAAGGCAGAGAGAGATAGACCATGCCAATAAACAAAATCAGAAACAAAAAGGGGGATATAACAATGGACACTGAGGAAATCCAGAGAATCATCAGGTCATACTTTGAAAACCTGTACTCCATAAAATTCAAAAATCTAAAGGAAATGGACAGTTTTCTGGATAGATATGACTTACGAAAATTAAACCAAGAACAGATAAACAGTTTAAATAGACCTATAACCCAAAATGAAACAGAAGCAGTCATCAAAAGCCTTCCAACCAACAAAAGCCAAGGGCCAGATGGCTTCACTGCTGAATTCTACCAGAAATTCAAACAAGAGCTAATACCAGTACTGCACAAGTTGTTCCACACAATTGAAGCTGAAGGAAAATTGCCAAACTCTTTTTACGAGGCTAACATCACTTTGATACCCAAGCCACACAAAGATACAACCAAAAAAGAGAACTACAGACCAATATCCCTCATAAACAAAACTGCAAAAATACTCAACAAAATATTGGTGAAGCGAGGGAGGGGAGAGATGGCTCAGCAGTCAAGAGCACTGGCTGTTCTTCCAGAGGACCCGGGTTCAATTCCCAGCACCCACATGTCAGCTCATAACTGTCTATAACTCCAGTTACAGGAGATCTAACACCTTCACACCAATGCACATAAATTAAACTTAAATAAACTAGATTTAAAAAAAATATTGGTGAATCGAATCCAAGAACACACCTGAAAATCATGCACTATAATCTAGTAGGCTTCTTCCCAGATGAAGGGATGGTTCAAAGTATGAAAATCAATCAATGTAATCCAAACTGAAAAGGCAAAACCACATGATCATCTCACTAGATGCTTATAAAGCCTTTGACAAAATCCAACACACTTCATGATAAAGATCTTGGAGAGAACAGGAATAACAAGAATATATCTAAACATGATAAAGGCAATATACACAAAACCAACAGCCAACATCAAAATAAATGGAGAGAAACTCAAAGCGATTCCTCTAAAATCATGAACAAAACAAGGCTCTCCACTCTCTCCATATCGCTTCAATATTGCACTTGAAGTTCTAGCTAGAGCAATAAGACCACAAAAAGTGATCAAAGGGATACAAATTGGAAAGGAAAAACTCAAATTTTCACTCTTTGCAGATGATATGATAGTCTACATAAGTGACCTGAAAACCTCTACCAGGGAACTCCTACAGTTGATAAACACCTTCAGCAAA